AGGGGTAAGCCTAAGGGTGAACGTCCCAAAACATCACTTGTATGGAAATTTTTTAAACATGATAAAGTCAATCAACGTGTTACATGTGAAATATGTAAGCAACGATTTGCGCACACCAAAAGTGGTGGGGCGGGGGGTTTATCTAGGCACTTAGGTAGGGACCACAAAGCTTTATAGATACAAGCTTGTGGAATTTCTAGCATATTTGTGAAATTTCTGTTATATTTGGTAAGTATAAAACTAATCCAACTTATGCACCGGCCATTAATTAAATAATTGCAAAATTTTAAAAGTATTTTTTCCCTATTCCCCAAGTTTATTTAATTTCTACTATACTTAACCCATCTTTAAAATTAAGAGGTGCAAAGGGACTTGTTCATAAAATTTATGAGAATTTAGCAATTCAAGAAAATGAACAACCATCTCTCGAAGAATGGAAAGCTAACATATATTCTTATGTTAGATCAATGTTTGATAAATATAAATCTATGGAAACAACGTGAGGTGAAACTGCTCCTTCTACTTCTAAGTCTAGAGTAGAAGTTCTATGGGAAGATATGGATGATATAACAAGTTTTGATTCCTCTATTGATGATGAACTTGATTTTTATCTTAATCAAGGATTGGAAAGTATTAAAGACGAAGAAGGCAACGGACAACTTTTGGCATGGTGGAGGGAGCGTGGCAAGGTTTTTCCAACACTTTCAATAATGGCCCGAGAAATCCTTGCTATTCAAGCATCATCATCATCAGTAGCATCAGAGAGTGCTTTTAGCGCGGCAAGATTTCAAATCGGAGATCATAGAGATTCATTAGCGGAGGACAGCCTAGAGATTTCCATATTATTCAGAGATTGGATTAATTCAGAAAGAAGAAATCTTGGTTTTGAAAAATTAACCACAAGGGAAGAAGAAGAATACAATGAGATACTTAGCAATGGGAGCGATGACGGCATGAAACTCATGAAACATCAATCAACATTGTCAATTCCAGAACAATGTCCGAGAGAAATTATAGATAAGTTACAATAAAGTTATATAGGAGCTTACAAATATTAGTATGATAATTTTTAATTGGCTACTAAGAGGCCTAATTCAAACAGAACCCTTCCTAGAAGGTGGCTGCGTAGATTAGGTGCTCTTCAAAAGAATTATATTTGTATGTGAGATTGAAAAGTTCTATTAATAAAATAAAAGGCTCTAAGCGTTGAATTTGTTTTATGAATTGTCTTACACTCTTACATAGTTACTTAATGGCTTGAAATTATATTAAATAAATTATAACCCTATTATAAATTTATAATTACTAGAATATTTCATTACAAGTCTTTTGTTATAATATTTTATAATTCTTTACTTAGTTTCCTAATTTTCGTTTAATTTTTAAGTTTATTAAATAAGTCAAGAAACTAGATATTGCAAACTTTAAAAACTTAGTCATTGTCAAAAGAATATTCGTTGCCAAACTCAATGCTTAAATAATTTTTTTTTAAAACGGCACTTAAGGCCCGCGAACCTGTCCCATCCCATCCCGTTTGTTAGCGGGATGGGATGGGCCTACCGTCCGTCCCGTTCCATCCCGTCCCGTTAATTTTGTCCCGTCCCGTTGGACAACCATACCACCAACTCCAAGCCTCCTAGAAGATCATCCTTATCGAGCAATCAACATTAGAAATACCCCTTCGATTCCGAAATTGCTACACTCTGTTATCTCTGACAACCGCTCATACGGCACCATTTCACACTACCCTGCCCCGAAGGCAAATTGATGAAGACCATAACACCGGCAAACCTTAATGTGTTCAACAAGGACGATGATACCACATCACAATTAAGAATTCCACCACGCTCGAAAATACCAAGTCTCGTTACTCCATTATCCCAAACCTGAACATTCATAGTCTGATTGCCTTTCCTCCGCTGAAAATAGAATATTGAACCTCTGAATCATGCATTGAGAAAAACCTCCTCTCAAGTCATTAACTGCCTCGACACATAAACAAGCACCCTACCATTACTTTAATATTGTACGATAACAACTCATGAACATCATAGCAATTGGTGCATAGCCCAAAAACCATAAGAAATACAGCTACTAAGCTGAAATGATAGAACATCCTTCCGCAAGGCGATGACATTAACCCAATCGAATACGCGGGGAGAAACATCCTGCACCACCTCTGCAGTACCATTACAACTCCTCGATTCCCAATTGACACGAGCGATGAACGTCGTATAAGAATGAGTAGGAAGGATATAAAGGCATAAGTCTCAAAGGAATCAAATCACACGATGAGGAATCAAGAAGGGAAGTGCTCCTAACAGCCCTGTAGCCTCTCGAAGATAAGTACAGACGTCTCCGTACCGATCCGCAAGACTCTACTAGACTTGTTCATGACTCGTGAGACCTAAGTGAACCTAACGCTTTGATACCATGTTGTCACGACCCAAAATCCATTAATGGTCGTGATTGCGCCTAACACCGCTGCCAGGCAAGCCAACAATAGTTGATTAACTCGATTATTCATTTTAGTATTTTGAAATCAAAATTTTCCTTCAATTAAATAATCAGAAATAAAATTCACAGAGTAAATGACAATATTTTCCCAAGTACAATGCTGAACAACTCATAAGTACCCCCAAAATCTGGTGTCACAAGTGCATGAGCATCAACTACGAAGTAAAATAAAATACAACATCTGTCCGAAATACAAATTAGACAGGAAAAATACAAATAACCCTGGAGGAGACTCTGCTGGCTGCGGATCATAACCAGAAATGCAGCTCGCGGCAAGCCCCCCGATCATCCGTGCCTCCGTGCCCAAAGGACCACCGGACATAAAAGTACCTGCACAAAAATGTGCAGCAAGTGTAGTATGGGTACGTAAATCCACGCNTATATATAATGGACCTCACCACTTGCTATTATTGGTACACCACTTGCTATTATTGCTAACAGTATCATGTCTCTTGATATGATATCTGCAAGTAATACTTAACATGGGAATATTATTTTGATTCCGCCGGAGGCATCTACAAAGAATAATCTTGTTACCAGAGTCGACTCTTTATAATATAGTCTTGAAAACTTGTTCTTGTTTAGGATTTAGTTTGATTGTGCTTTCTCAGACACTTGTATAACATTTTGATTCTTAATAATATACTAACCTTTTTACTTTGTGCTCTAACGCTCTTTTTATGAAATAAATTTATGTACCCTAAGATTTTTTTTAAAGTTGAATAAGAATTTTACTCATATGATGAATTTAAAAAATAATTGAATTGAATTCTCTTGCTAAATAATTAATTTAAAAAAATTAATTAATTGGTTTTAACATAAAAATATATTCTATGTTGATTATGATCTTAATATTAGTTTATCTCTTGTTTTGAATATTTAATCTTAATTATAATTTTATCCACCATAAATTTTATTTTCAAAGAGTAAAAGATTGATATGACATTTCACATTTAGATCTTTATGTTTGTAGAATCATTAGTGGTATTGACTCTTGCCAACTATTTTTTTTTCTCTTTCTCACACAGTTATATTCTTAAATATTTTCTTAGTTGTTGTTTAATAATTGGGTATTTTTTAATATTACACGAAAAATTTATAAAAAAATATATTATTTGAGTAGGAAAATAGTTCAAATATAATATAAAAATATATTATCATGGGGGTATTTTTTTCTTCTCAATTTCAACTCTTTATGTAGTCCATTTAATATTACTTTTATTTTTTCTTCGTATTGGACATTATGGAGTGGTAATGTATTTCCAATACGGAGGATTCTTATGAAGTTGATTTTATTAAACTTTCCTACATATTTTTAATAAGAATTTAATAGACAAAATTTTATTAGTTTTAAAATCTTAAATATTAAAAATTAGCATAGAAAGTATTGTAGTCCAAAAAATAGGTTATTGCAGTTATATCCTTTCCTTATGAGTTCTTCCGTTTAATATTTTAAGGATATTTTGATATATTAATATTGTATTTATGTTTTTTAATAATATAGGCTCTCATTTTTCTAAATGGATTTGGACAATATAATACACTCTCAAATTAAATTAGTAATAAGACATTTTAATACGTTTTCAAATTAAATTAGTAATAGGAATTTTTAAGAAGTATATCCTAAAAGTAATAGAGTTACATGACTAAAGATATTTACTTGTTCCATTTTATATGAATTAGACAGCCGAAAGTAATTATACTAATAGGATTCCTAAAGGTAATCATGTAGGATTCCTAACGTGTATTATTATGTCCTAAAACTAATAGGATTATAAGACTAATATCTAGAATTCTGGTTATATCCTTTTATTATGAGTTATTATGCTTAATATTATAAGGTTATTTTTATAAACCGACATTGTATTCATGCTTTTATAATAATATATATATGATTCTTAGCTATTCCAAGACTAGTAAATACTGTAGAATACTAGTATTAATTGTAGTCTACTAATACACTCATATAGTCATATGTACAGATAATTGGTATTTACAAGCAACAATTTCTAGTATTTTTCGCCATATATTTTCCTTGGTTGAGTTGTACTTCTTACTTGGCTCAAAACTACACCTACCCCAATAATCACACGGGGTTGACCCAATCTCCAAACCAAACTAGATAGTCTCCTACTATTAGATTGATCATTGATCCAGGGATTTTTATTTTTTATTTTTTTATTATCACCTTCCGGCTTTCTTATTCCGAGAAAGTGTGTAGTTGCAAAAATACAATAGTAGGTCTAAAATATTAGTCTAAGGCCCCGTTTGTCCATTTATTTTTTAAAATGTGTCGAAAATGAGTTTTTCGGACCCCAAAAAGTAGTTTTGACCACTTTTTCAAAATTTTCATAAAATTTTATTCTTCACCATTTTTTCAATTAAAATACATATCCAAACATAATTTCAAATTTAAAATATTATTTTTTCTAACCTAACCCCATATACTATTTTTTTTCAAAAATTACAATTTTTTTAATGTCCAAACGCCTACTAGATCACTTTTATAAAAACTTGCATCACTTTTCAAAGGGCTGTTGACTTGGAGAAGGTAAGTGCTGCTCTTACAATCCATGGCAGAAACTTTCTTGTTCAACATCATTGAAAGAGTTTTGGCAAAAGTTTCTTCAGTTGCTGTATATGAGATCAGTTTAGCTTGGAATGTTAAGACTGAGTTAAGAAAATTACAGAGCACTTTATCCACAATCAAAGCTGTACTTTTAGATGCAAATGAGCAGCAGGCAAAGAACCATGAAGTGAGAGATTGGCTGGAAAAGCTAAGAGATGTTGTTTATGATGTCGATGATTTGCTCGATGATTTGTCAACACAGCTAACACTACAAATGCATTTTCAGAAAAGCCTTAAGAAGAAGGTAAGAAAATTCTTTTCAAGTTCAAATCCAATTTTTTATCGATTCAAGATTGGTAGAAAGGTAAAAGAGATTAGGGAGCTATTGAATGAGATTGCACATGATAGAAAAAGTTTCCATTTTACTGAACATACTTATCTAAATCCAGTTGAGAATATTTGTAGAGAACAAACACATTCCTTTGTAAGGGCCTCCGATATTATTGGTAGAGAAACTGATCAAGAAAACATAGTAAAACAGCTCATAGATGCTCGTGAAGAGGAAAATATTTCTGTGATTCCTATTGTTGGACTTGGAGGGCTTGGAAAAACCACACTTGTTAAGTTGGTTTATAACAATAATAAGGTAGTTCAGAATTTTGACCTGAGAATGTGGGTTAGTATTTCAGAAGATTTTAGTCTGAGTAAGGTAATTGAGAAAATTCTGCGGTCTGCAACAGGAGAGAGTTTTGGCCACCTAGATATGGACCAATTACAAAGTCATTTGAGTGAGGTTTTGCGATCGAAAAGGTATTTACTTGTACTGGATGATGTGTGGAATGAAGATCAAAACAAGTGGACGGACTTGAGGGAGTTGCTGATGAATTGTTCTAGAGGTAGTAAGATTGTTGTCACTACACGCAGTAAGATGGTTGCTTTGATTACTGGAACAGTTGCACCTTACTATTTGGGTGGTCTTGCTGATGATGAGTGCTTATCTTTATTTTTGAAATGTGCATTTGTAGGGGAGGACAAATTGTTGCCTAATCTAGTAGAAATAGGAAAAGAAATTGTAAAAAAGTGTGGAGGAGTGCCTTTGGCTGTGAAAACCTTGGGAAGGTTATTGTATATGAAAACAGATGAAAATGAATGGTTGCGGATAAGGGATAATGAGATATGGGAGATCGAACAGAAACAATCCGATATTTTACCAATATTGAGATTGAGCTATGAACAGATGCCATCACATCTAAGACAGTGTTTTGCCTATTGCTCCATGTTATCCAAAGGTCAAGAAATTCCGAGAGAGGACTTCATCAACCGCTGGATTGCTCAAGGATTTATACAGAGTTCAAACGGATCCAGGAAGTTGGAAGATATTGGTAATCAGTACTTTGATGAGTTACTATCAAGGTTTTGCTTCCTAGATGTGGTACAAGCTTTTGATGGAGAAATATTGGCTTGTAAGTTACACAATCTTGTGCATGATCTTGCACAGTCAGTGGCAGGTTCTGAATGTTTAAACGTGAAATCTAATGCCTCTGTGGTTTCTGAAAGAGTTCGCCACTTATTTTTTCATGCAGAAGATATGTCTAGGAAACACTTCCCAAGATTTTTACTTTCTTTGCAAAAGTTGAGGTCTTTTTCTTACTCATTTAACATTGGACCTGTAAACAAGTTTTTTGTCAAGACAATGTTATCAAATTTCAAATGCCTTCGGGTGTTAGTCTTGAACAATTTAGATTTTGGGGAGTTGCCAACTTCAATAGGTCACTTGAAGGAATTAAGATATCTTAACCTTAGTGACAATGGTAACATCAAGTTTCTCCCAAGGTCTATGAGCAAATTAGTAAATTTGCAGACTCTTAACCTCATTAATTGTGAACAGCTTAAGGAGTTGCCAAGAGACTTTGAAAAGTTAATCTGTTTGAAGACCTTGTATTTGACTACATATAAGATATCAGCAGGGAAGAATCAACAATCTTTCCCTTCTCTTCAATTTTTGCTTCTTTTCAAGTGTTGTTTCCCAAAATTGCAGCCAGAACTGGTGCAGCAGTTTACTGCGCTTCGGATTTTGCGTATCTATGAATGCCGGAGTTTATATTCTCTTCCAAGCAGTATTAGATACCTGACTTCACTTGAAAAGCTATGGATTTGGAACTGTGAAGAACTTGATTTGATGGATGGAGAGGGAATGGTAGGCCTAACAAGTTTACGATCGTTGCTTCTAATGGGGCTCCCTAAGTTGGTGACTCTACCATTGGGGCTTAAAGATACTGCTCATGCAACACTGAAGTACTTTAGAGTTGCCGATTGTCCCAACCTAGCGGTGCTTCCAGAATGGCTGCAGAATTGCTCTTCACTTCAGAGGCTGTATATAGAGGATTGCCCTGTATTGGCATCAATACCCCAAGGAATCTACAACCATAATGCCGAAGTCCATATAATCGACTGTCCATTGCTAAGTGGAGGATGTTAATGACACAGGTGCAAGATCAGTGTTATCAAAGGTGCGCTTAAGCCTTGAAGCGAGGCTCAAAACATGTTGAGCGCTTAGCAGGCGCTTCAGTGTTGTCATCAAGGCTCTAAGACATTCTGACACTAAGCAATTGATATTATCATAAATTTTCTTCAATTTCTTTGTCCATATATTTGGTATTCATGCTTATAGATATTAGTCTTGGACTACACATACATATTTGTTATTTTTCTCCATTTGCGCTTTTTTTCATTAAAGCCCACACTTTATTTGTGCTTTGCGCTTAAAGCCCTAACAAACATTGGAGTTTTTTTGCGTTTTTCACATTTAATAACACTGTGCAAGATTATCCAAACATGTTTTACAAATTTTAAGTGTGACTACTAGAACAATGTGGACGTAGTTTCACTTTTTGTGAAGTCTTATTTTTCTTCTAAATTTCTTCAAATCATGATAAATTCTGGTATCATTGTTAATTCCCTTGCTTATATATTGTACTTAGGTAACATGTCCTTCTCAACAGTAAGCTTTTTCTTGCATCTCTTCTTTTGGTACTACTCAGAGGCGAAGACACAAGCCAAACTACGGCTTCGATCGAACCCAATAGCTTTTGATCAAACAGTGTATTTGGTGTTTAGAATGCACTAAATATGTACAAATATTAAATTTAGAACCCAGTCACTAACACTTGAAGTAGCCGCTCTAAAATTCAGAACCCATAAGGTTGAAATTCTGGCTCCGACTCTGGTAATACTGACAAGAACTAGCTGCATTACCTCCACTTCTGTGTTACATACAGACATCATTTGCTATTGTGGGAGCATTCTAGACTCTGTTATGTCCAGATGCTCAGCTCAGATAAGATCAATGTTTTAGTTGCTGCTATTGTCAATATCCTTAAAATGCAGTATAGAAATTAGTTGCTTATTTGAAATATTTGTATGGACCTCTTGAAACCCATAAATTTACAGCCATCATATAGTGCTTTATTTGATTGCGCTTTTTATGTCGAAGAGGCAAAATCTTAATTTAAAGTCAGTCTTCGCCCTTAAGAACAAACAACTGAAGAATTGTGTTTATGGGAGAAACTAGGTAAAACACCTTTCTATGGAACACGGTTTCTTCTCTTCACCGCTTGAACATTAAAAGACACTGTAAAAGTAAAATCTAATGTATGTAGGCAACATATCCTAATACAAACATTAGTGGCTGATTTCATGTTTGAAGAGTTCAATTGCGGCACGAGAAGAGGTACCAGGTAATTCTGTTCAGTAAGGCTTGGACAGATGGAAAACAATGTTTAAATATATATTTTTTACACTACAGAAATTAAATCTTAATTAAAAGGCTTGTTTCCTCAGCTATTTAGGAAGACTTAATACTACAATTCATTTAAATTCTAAAAGATCGAGTTTCTAATTTACGTACGGATTGTATTAATTTACTGTATTCTTGGATTCCAGACTTTAGAGTATTTTCTTTCAATGTTAAATGGACGTACTATTCGGCAACGGTCTTTTCAGGCAAGATGCACTTCGTACATGCTTACATCTTAATTAAGTACTTTTTCTCATCTAAGCTAACTGTTCCCTTCTCCAACTATTTAATAGTGTAGAGTTTCATGACTCCTTTTCCCTTTATTGATTTCCCAAGTGATAAAATTTGTTTGGCAGAAAAACAATATATATATCTACAGGAGAAGTTTACCTAAAATATAATTGCCTTAATTTTATGCAGTTAATTGGAAAATTTTAATCTCAAATAAAAAAAAATTACAGGGCAAATAACTACTCCACCATGAGATCCTATCCTATAAAAAACAACAATTTTCTTTTTTCAATGACGTAGAGGTAGAGCACGCTTACGCGCACCTCGAGTTCAACAGCGCAGTAGTATCTTCCACCAGTACAAGTACCGAGGAACTTTGTACACCGCCAAAAACGATGATTCATTGCGGCAGCTCTTCATTCATTATCCAACTCATTCCCAATCCCAGATGGTATCTCAAATCTGTTTTTCTTGCTTTCATCAATTATCACATCATCTTCAGCATCATCCATGATGGATTCCTTCTTGAAATAATCTACTTTAAAGTCATAATCATCATCCATCATATCACTGGTAGTAGAGGCTTTGTCTTTCTTCCTCCTTTTCTTCTCAGCTTTTCTAAGTTTGTTATTTAGCATGCCTTCCTCAGTATATAACTTCTCATTTTGTCGGCTACTAGCACTCTTGCCACTGGTCCGGCCTGCATCATCTTCTCCTGCATCCATCGCCTCGTCACTGTCTTCATTAACAAGGTTATCCGTTGCATTATCACTCTGAGTCACTGGCTGCTCCAAATTGTCCTGCAGTTTAAACATGCATTGTTAATAGATGTCAACTTTTTCAGGAACCAACAATATTACAGTATTATTTGTGCATAACGAGCACTGTAGGCAAGATTTTGATTTGCAGAGCAAGTGAATAGCAGTTACAGAATTCACGGGATGTTAAGAAGAATGCTAAAAAGGACTGATCTAAAAAGAAGAAAGTCTAAAAGGAAATCACTTACCTCTAGCATGGTCTCGTCAAAGTTAACAGGGTGATTAGATGGAACTTCAACTGGGTGATAATCATTGACTGATTTCAGGCTTCCAATAATCGAGGATTCGCTTCCATAAACTTCATCAACATTGAACTCTTTTCCAAGTTCTGAAACTATCTTTACCTCTGAATGCTCCCCCTCGTTCCTAGAGGGGGGCATGGTGTAGTACGGTATTTTCCCTGAAATGTGTCAGAGACATCAAACTACTAGCTTATGCATGACATATGCGTCTTTTTCAAATTCAAATCTCTCCTGGAGGAAAACTAGCAGTTATCACACTTACCCTCATTCCAGCCATGCAGAACAATCCTCGCTGCAGCATCGATGTCGACAATTCCACCCTTTTTGAGTTTACCCCTAACAGTAGCAACTTTCTGAAGAAAGTCATCGACTGATTCAAAGCTAGGAACCTTATATATAGATACCAACATCCTGGCCGGACACAGTTTAAGAATCTCCTTTACTGCACAAACCACAGTACTAGCAAAGTCAGCCGCATTGATATACTAATTGAAATAGAACATAAAAGTTATGTAAAGATGCTAAAACCAAATCCAGTTACCAGGACCAACTGGGTCATCTAACTTCTCTATCCTCTTGCAATTTCGAAGAGCAATAGCTGCATCATTCTGTGATGATGACCTAAGCATCACAATCCCAGGGCAGTCCAACAACTTAACATTCTTATCTAACTGGACTTCTTGCATGGATCTAGTTAATCCTGGTGTAGCACCAACATTGACTACGTGAGATCTCTTCAAGCTATTAATCAGGCTACTTTTACCAACATTTGGTAGACCAATGATACCAACAGTGATTGATTTTTTAATCTGCAGCAAGACTTACCATTAGCACAGAATCAGCAAGACTAGAGCAAACAGTGCAATTAAAATTACATCAGCATTGACTAAAGACAGACTGGTAGTGTCCCATACGCCAAAGTCCTATGCAGTACACTAAATTTCCTTATTTTCTTTCATTAATTCCTTCCTTTTTCTGCAAACACCCAAAAATCCAAGAAATTCATCGGGAAAAAGATGCCATCAGCATTATGGAAAAAGTTACTCAAAGTGCATCAAAAAGAGTCAAGACAGCCATTTGGCCGCGGCACCTAACTATATGCATCTAAGGTGTTGCACACCATAGCAGATTTCTGAGGTTGAAAAGCTACGAAAGCGCAAGTTAGATACCTAGAAGCAAGTTACCGTTCATGATCGGACATATTGAGATAGGAGTCTTGAAAGATATCCAGGTTAAAGTGAAGAGGAGGATGGAGAGACAGTTAAAGAGTTGAAGCGCTTCTTCGATTTTAAATTTTATCCAGGGTTATCTACTGGAATCAGAGAGCATCTATCTAATGTCCCATGGAAATTTGCCATCCCAGGAGGCTAGTGGAATTGAATAATCAATCAACTATGGTTCAATTCCAAACTAGTTGGAGTCAGCTATATGAATCCTTCATATATATTTAGGGATGGCAATGGGGCGGTGCGGGTTTAGACATATGCAGGGCGGGGGAGGTTTAGACAAATGCGGTGCGGGGCGGGTCAAAATAATTTTTTAAAATATCTGTGCGGTGCGGGTTTGTGACTTTGTGTTAATTCTCTTCAGCCTTTGCTGTTCCCCTCTTGGTTCTACCTCTAAAGACACAAGCATGAAGCTCTCTATCAGTGATAGAATGCAGAAGATTCAAATTCTTTATATAGAAATCAAATCATATTAAGTCTTGAAATCGTTCTATCACCTAAACCTGTAGACTTAACTTCACAGCAATTAATACATTAAGAATTTAATTTGATTTAATCTGTTACTTGGATTTAGCTTCTGATTTCGGTGAAAACTTTCAATTTTTTTGGGCTTATCTTTCTGGCAAATAGTAACAAAATCCAGCTTTAATTTACAAATACTTAAGTGAATTATAAAGCAAAAAAGAAAACCTATCTTTTTGTTATTAACGTTCACTCTTAGTGTTTAGCTTCTGTATGCTTATCTACTTAATTGCTTACCGTTAAAAGTGAAAGATTTAGATTGACAATGGCATATATATAAATATAATTGAAAGCAAAAATGAATAAACATAAAAATAAGACAAATTTTAAAATAATAAAAATTTTAGGGGCGGGGCGGGGCGGGTGGACGCGGGTGGGAT